AGAGCCAATAACTGGGTTTTTCTTTTTCTTTTTATTGTTTTGGTAGTTGATGGTAAGATGAATTGATGTAATTACTTAATAATACAACATGATGTTGACTGTATAATAGTATACATGTGATTATATGCTATGAAAATGGGAAATAAAACTTTCTATGAAAAAGAAAAGAAAAGCACAGATTCTTTCTTCCTAGGAATCGGGATAAATCTTTCTGCCTAGAAGGCGCTCTGAATCACATATTCACCCGGAGTGTGCCGTTTCTGCCTTCTCAACCTTCGGTTTGCAAAATGGAGCTGGAAGGCGAATCGGTGTCCTGCCAAATCCCACAGATGTTCCTAGAGAAGATAAGCAGGTATGCAGCTGCATTTCCAGATCCTTGGAGTCTGATCTCTGCCTAATGTAATCAGTTTGGCTAATGGGCGTGCTCTTAAAGGGAACATTTACGGGGATCTACATTTCCTTTGGAATCCAGATGCCTTTTGGGCTGATATCTGAGCAACTGGAATAATACTAACGAATAGGTTAAAAAAAAATCGTAACACACTTCACATTCACTGCTCCCATCAGTAATTTGCTGTTTTTAAAAGTAGAATGTCTGAGGTTAGTGGCTTGCCTTGTTTAATACTTCTTTCTTCCTAATATTTTTATAACCTGAACTAGGAACTACTTAGGTATTCATTCGAAGCATCCCGTGAGAACTATAAATGAAAAACTAATGGATGGCCTCGGCAGATCGTTCGCAGTTCAGAAGGCAAATTCTTCCTTTCCTTTGGTGTTCAAAGACAGAACTGCTTCTCTTTCGTCGGACGCCTTTTGGATGGTTCCTGTCGCCAAAAGTCACCCTGAAATTAAGTTTTTAGCTTCCAGAAGTTATCCTGGAACGGATGAGGACCAGGATTTGAGTTGGACCTTAGGACAATATTACCTTCGGCCTTCCCTGTTGGTTTTTCTCCATTCTATTGTAAAGCAGAGAGATTTTCCTCCTCGGAGTTTGTTGGCCTTCAGTGGACTGGCTTTTAAAAAATGCAAAATTTCTGTCCACGTGCCACCTATTTTTCACGAGGCCCTCTTCATCTGCGCACTTCAGGAAGATGTAGAAGACGCGCAGCTCCTGGTGGAAAGCCTCATGGCCACATTAAACTCTTTACTCCCATCATCGGAGGTTAAACTGGACTCCCTGAACCAGGAGCCAGAAATCAGTCAGCAGGATATCTTTCTACCTTCTTACGGGCCGTTTCTGCTCAGCCCAAAATACGCTGTGTCTGTGAGCTGCCAGGGCTTTGATTCCAACCCAAAGGAATTTCGCGTCGGGACAATAAGTACCGTTCGGTGGCAGCTGTCAAGCGTTCACCAAAACGCGCTTTGCGTTTCTTTGAACCTCGATCTTCTGGCGATGTGCGCCTGCGACATTTTTGACTGGCGGATGCTCTGGACTTCGGACGAGCGTTTCGCGGGCCAGTTTTCGGGGGGGCGTTTAGGCGTTTTCCAGAACTTTTCCCTCCACCCGCCAGCCTATGGGCACAACATCAGCTTCTGGCTTCCGGAGGCAGAAACGTTCCGTGAAATCCAGCTCCACACCATTGCCAGGTGTGTGTCTTTGGAGACGGTTGTGTCTATCCAGCTGCTGGACCGTTATCGGCACCCGCGCGCACCACACGCCACCAGCCTGTGCTACAGGCTCACCTACCAGTCTTGCGATAAGGCGCTCTCTCGCCCCCTGGCGGCGGCCATGCAGATGTCCCTTAGGGAGGAGCTGCAGCGTAGTCTCCGGGTGGTTGTTAGGTAGGAGAACCAGAAGGAGAATTGAATTGAATTGAATTGAATTTATTGAATTTCTATGCCGCCCTTTTCCCCAAAGGGGACTCAGGGCGGCTCACAATCCAAGTCAAGGGGTGGGTGGGGTACAAATAAGGAATAAAAAAGACGAACAGAACAATACACAATTTAAAAGCATACAACAACCATACCATTCGAGGGGGGACAAAAGCTCTTTA